CAGCTATATCCTCTCAAAAATCTACAGATGCTGTTTTAGTATTCTATAATTCAGTGGTAGAAAAGACAGAGGTAAGCTTAATTTTTGCTTCCTTGTAGGTAACACATTTTTCAGGTGTCAATGCTTATAGAATTTACCCCTTTAATCTTATAATTCATATACTCTACTACGATGTAGCTTACTGTGTCTTCTGACAATTTTGTTTTCTCCCGAAGGACTTTATAAAAGCTTAAGTTTTCATCAAAGAATACATCAAAGAATAATGTTTTTTGATGACTTCTCTGTTCCACTCTTTTTGGATTTCTTCCACAGGAACACTATGTAAATTCTTAGTAGTCTTTTTTTGGTCTCCTAGATCTAACATCACACTGTCCATTTACAGTTTTGATCTTTTTCTTCTGTGTTCTGTGGCAGCTTCTTGAACCTCTCTTCTGCATTACTGATTTTCTTCAATCAATTCTACTCCTCACTGCTTCAGTGAAGGGCTTAATGTTTGTGTTGCAATTTGTTTCCTGGCAAATTATTTTAACTTGCTCCCCTTATGGCTGACCTAATTGTCTACATAACACATTTAATTGTACTTTTTTTCTTGCCTTTTCTCTCTTTATGACTTTTGGAATTCCAAAAGCATCAGTTTCATCCTGCTGCAGATGCTGAGGTGCTCAAAATCAATTTAGTTCTTGTAGTACATCATTTTCAAAACTACCATCTTCCTTTGCATCTTCAGGATAATTAATACATTCAATAATTATTTGAGCACTCACTATGACACTTGCTGTTGTAGTGAGTGGTTTGGGATATATCAGAGAAAATTCTGGAATGTTAGAATGTTCTGGAAAAACAGAGGGTAAAGGGATTGGATGGTGTACTCGGGGAGATTTTGAGAAAGTCATTCAAGAGAACTGTTCACGCAGTGGTTGAGGAGGAAGGGCTTTTCTGGCAGGAGAAACAGCAAGTCCAAGGCCTGGAGCTGGTTTGTCTGAGGAACAGCAAAGAGGCTGGTGTGGCTGCAGCACAGCAAAGAAGGCAAAGACAAGGGCAGAGGTCAGCAAGGTGACTTGGGGATGCATCACGAGACCCTGTAGGCCACTGAAAGAATTTTGGCTTTCACTCCGAGGAAGATGGGAAGCCATTGAAGAGTTTTGAGCAAAGCAATGGCATAATCTGATTACATTTTGAAAGAATTATTTTCACCATTCTGTTGAGAACAGACTCTGGGGAGAGGGGGAACAGAAGCCTGAGACCAGTTAGAAAGCTACTGCAGTATTCCAGGTGAGAGATGATGGTAGGAAAGGACCAGGTGGTCATGATGTAGGCAGTGCGAACTGGTCAGATTCTAAAGATATTTTAAAGGTAGCACCAGAGGATTTCCTGATGAATTAGAGGTGAGTTGAGAGAGAAATTATGAAGTCAGTATGACTCCACAGTTTTTGGTCTAAGTAATTGGAAGGATTCAGTTGCCATCAACTGAGATGGGGCAGAATGCATGTGGAGGAGGTCTATGAAAGAAGACTGGAATACGTTTGGGACATGCTAAACTTGAAATAATAAAGACATCAAAAAGAGTACTGGATGACTTCAAATTCAAGGGAAGTCAAGGGGGAGACAACAACTTGAGATTTGTCAGCACAAAGATGTGATTTCGAATGACACAATTAGGTAAGCTTTCTAAGGGAATGTGTGTAAAGACTGGACCAAGAGCTGAATCCTGGACACTCTGATATTAAGAGCTGAGGAGAACAGGAGGAACAACCATGAGGGCAAGAAGAAACAAAGCCCTGGAAGCACTTATGAAGGAGAAGAGAGTAATTAACTGCATCAAATGATGCTGCTGCACAGAGATCAGGGCTGACAATGGACCACTGGATCTAGCAATGCAGAGGTCACTGGTCACCTTCCCAAGAGTAAGTGTGGTGGAGTGTGGAGGGAAAATCTTGACTGAACTGTTTAGGAGAATAAACAAAAAAACTGGAAATAGCAAGTATACTGAAATCTTTCAAGGACTATTACTATAAAGAGGAGTGAAGATATGGAGTGGAGCCAGGTGTGGTGGCATGCACCTGTAATGCTAGCTACAAGTGAGACGGAGACAGGAGGAGTGCTTGAGCCCAGGAGTTCAAGGCTGCAATGAGCTATGATTGTGCCACTGTACTCCAGCTTGGGTGACAGAGTGAGACCCTGTCTCAAAAACAAGACAAAAAATTCCCTGTAGCCAGGCATGGTACTTTACTCCTATAATCCCAGCACTTTGGGAGGCCAAAGTGGGAGGACCACTTGAGCCCAGGAGTTCAAGACCAGCTTGGGCAACATAGTGAGAACCCGTCTCTAAAAACAAACAAACAAACAAACAAACAAACAAAAACCCAGAGCCCATGATTTCAGCACCCATGTTATTTCTACTATACTAGTCATATACTATTCTGCCTCTCTAAATTCTGCCACAGGAAAGTATATGTCAGGAAGAGGACAATTATCAAAAATGTATAGCAATGAGGGCTGGTTGCATTGGCTCATGCCTGTAATCCCATCTACTCGGGAGGCTGAGGCAGGAGGATCACTTGGGAGTTCAAGGCTGCAGTGGGCTATGATTGTGCCACTGCACTCCAGCTTACATGCTGGAGCGAGACCTTGCCTCTAAAAAAAAAAGAAAAAAGAAAAAAATGTATGGATGTATAGATGTGTGTATGTATGTATCTATAGTGGAATTTGGCAGGGGGCTGGGGGGAAGTGGAGAAAAGAGATGGAGCTTTTTAAAGAAGACAGAGTATGTTGCTGGGAATGATTGGGAGGATGTTCTCTTTTCTGTGTTTTTACAATGTTACTCCCAGGTCCATGTGCATCTTCTTAGACATCCTCAGATGAGATCTTGCCCAGTTACTCAAAAAATAGGGTAAGTGCACCACCACTGACTGCTCAGTCTTTGCTTACTAGTCAGAATCCCTTCTTATACTGACAACTGAAAAGCAGGCCGATAGTCACAGCTCCTCAGCAATTTTTAGTGTGCGATGGGCACACTAAGTATGATTCTGTTGGATTCAGGTAGTATCTGATCTTCCTGCCCGGTTCTCTCATCTGTTGAATGGTGGATTGTATTAAACACCATCATTCTCAGAGTGCACTTACCAGGCTGCTTCCCATCTCCATTTCTGACTACAGCACTTTATTTGTGGAGACTATCTCAGGGTACAATGTGCCTCCAATGTCATCTCCCCTCCCATGCCTTTTTGTAGTATTAAGACAATAAAGGCCTGATGTGGTGGCTCATACCTGTAATCGTAGCATTTTGGGACGCTGAGGCAGAAGGATGGCAGTAGTCTAGGAATTTGAGACCAGCCTGGGTAACACAGTGAGACCCTGTCTATAAAAAAAATTAAAAACTTAGCTGGGCATGGTGGTGCATGCCTGTAGTCCCAGCCACTTGGGAGAACTGAGGTGGGAGGATGGCTTGAGCCCAGGAGTTCAAGGCTGCAGTGAGTTGTGATCGCGCCACTGCACTTCAACCTGGGAGACAGAACAAGATCCTGTCTCAAAAACAAAAACAAAAAGACACAGTTTAGTGTGTGGATGGAGGGAGGCTAGAGAGAATGAACATTACTCTGGTTGCCTAAAGCACCAGGCAGCTGAGGGACAGGACCAGGTTTTCTGATTAGGGCATGTAAGTTTATAGACACTTACATGCCTTCCTCTCTTACACACTATTGACTGAGATAAAGACATTGCTATACTAAGTTAAAAATCACTGAGAAATTCCTCTTAGATTTCGTCAGTATCAGGCATAAGTTTTGGTGAAAGAATGCCTTTTCTTTTTCTTATTTTTCCTCCATTGCACTTTATTGGGAAAACAGGATAGATTAAATCAGGGGTGATTATCCAGATGTTATTATTAAATAAGCCATGCTTTGAAGTTAAGGCAACAGGTAACACATTGAATAAGCCAAAGTGCTTAATTTTTGTTTTCTATGAAATAGTTTATTTCACTGTTCACTATGGAGAGGCTACAAATACATTTCTGATATCAACACAAAGGACTAAACTTTGCCAACACTGGTAAAAATGGTTATGAGGAATTGAGAGGCTAGGGAACAGGGCACATGACATTTACATTTACTCATCTCCCACTATACATCTCAAAACAAACATCAAAGGCACTTACCAAAGTGATTAAGTAAGGGAGCGTGGAATTTAAAATAATGACAGATACCTAAGACACAAAATAAACGGCTTGAATTTTCTTATAGTTTGATTTCTAACATTTTACTGACTAAAATCTCTGCTAATTATGTAATCTACTTTGTGGCTTTAAAATATTTGATACTTTGATTTAAGACTACTTTAAATGAAAAGAACCTAATGGAATACCATAAAGCCAGAGTTTTTCCACACCCAATTACAGTAGAAGAGCACCACTATATCCAGGCAAAAGCGAAAGGCTCATGTTGCTTCTCCAGGGAGCACTATGGAGTCAGCTCTCACTGATATACTAACATGTGGCATCTTTGTGGCTTCATAGGCACATTCATTCAAAACACATTTATCTAGCATCTGCCAAGGTACACAGCACTGTGCTGGGTGCTGGGGAGACAGAAACATGGTGTGGTGCTTACTTTCACAAGCTTACATTTATCCCCTGTAACTGGGTGGGTCATGCTTTCTTTTCAATTCCTACTGATTTGTTCCAAGAAGCTTCATGGAATAAAACACGAGCCAGAATAAATGCATTTGTGTTCCCATCCCTAATTCTACTTGGTTTCCAGAAAAAGAAGTCAGAATAAGACTAACATCAGAGTATTAAAGAGGACCTAAACTCTATATCAATCTAAGGCATGATGTCATTTGTCTACAACATGGGAAAAAACAAGAAGTAGAGCACCTTTCAGCCCTTAGAATCCAGTGTCTTTCCACTGCTTTGTGGCAATTTCCTGCACAAATATAAGCCCTACACTACATTCTAAAACAGACTTGTAAATGCTTTCAAACTAACTTATGCTCTTACTCTCAACTCACAGAAAAATGGAGTCCAATCACATTTCCATGTGAAAACACAAAATTAGGTTAACAGAACAATCATCCTTGACATAGTAATACTCTGACAATACAATTAAGGGGACATCTTCTATTGGTATTTGTTCTTGACATGGAAAAACAATTTCTTGCGTATTTTCTAATCATAGTGTATATACAGATTACAGAGTCAACGTGGGCAATGATGCTGACAAGGCATCAAGCCTGTTTTAGAGTATACTGGCAATGAGAGATTTCAATTTCTTTATACTATATTCCTGCCTTCTCAGTCTGTACACGTATTATCATTTACAGGATACCCACATACTATACAGAATTGAAAGATGCCAATTTTTGCTATCAAAAGTGCTGAAGTTATAATTTTCTAATACAGAGTACTGAAATGCACAGAAAGACTAAAATAGGCAATCTATAGGAGGGCTAACAAAGTATTTCTGTATCTCATGTGTATTAATTACCCTTCCTCTATCTTATATAATATTCCATCTTTAATAGTGAACTTTCATCTAATTAAGAAATCCCCCAGTTTATAAAATCTGAGGGCAATTTCCAGTGAACTTTGTCAGGATAGAGGAACCAAACGACCACAGGTATTACTGAGTTATAATAAGAAGGAGTAACTAATTATCAGTATTAAAACAACGAAATTGCTGCAAGGCAATAGGCTTCTGTAATTAAACATAAATCACAAGGGTATGGATTCAGGCATGAAAATAGTGACGTGATTTCACTGAGAATCAACTAGTATTTGCAAAGCTACTTGAATTTTTCTGTTGATCTTCACTTGTTGTTAAATAATGATAGTTTTGATGATGGTAAAACTTCATTTTTCAAGTGCAGGATGATCTGAGCTGAATGAGAAAAACAGTAATTAAGGGAGGTAATGAAGGTAGGCCTGGCATCAGTTTGAACAATGTATTTTTTCTTCTGTTTTTGATCATAAGAGGGCTTACATCTCTGAGGTTACCACAATAAAGTCATAACCATGCCAGCCATTTTAAAAGGATTTCAGGATTAATCAAGACCAAGAAAGATGAAATGACAAACTACAAACCAAGCCATCACTACTACAAAGTTCCATGAGTGATATGTCTGTTACCCATATCCCAGGTAACAATATGTTTAAATTACAAAGACAGTGACATATATATTGTCAAATAAATATTACTTTTACTTATTTAAACTTTAAAAAATTTATAATTTTATTTTTTGTAATTTATTTAAAAGTGGCATACTTTATTAAAAGAAACACTGGAAATATGGATGCTTTTTGAGAAGTAATCTTCATCTTCACTTGTAGATATTATGGAGGAACTGGATTTCTACATCAACTAATGGAAAATTAAAACTTACAAGCCTAGTTCCAATTCAAATAAAGAACATACATACAAATGTTAGGACTGATTCTGTCCATTCAGTTAAAATATTTCCATTTCTGAATTATTAGCTACTGAAATTCTAAAAATGCTCATTTTTCTGGGTATCTTGTTAAAAGATTTATTAGCAGTTCAGACGCTGTTTACATTGACATTTACAAAGAGCATAGAGACCAGAGACAATATGCTATAGTATGTAAGACCTTTATCTCCTCCTTAATGCTCTAAGCAAACTATAACGTTTAGAAATTCTATTTAGATCTTCTTAGATAACTTGCAGGTGTCTTGAGTGTCTCAGTCTGCTTTCTCTCTTCAAATTTCTTTCCATTCTAAATAACATTTTTTGCCTCCTAGTAATAATCCTGTAGAATTTTAAAAACAGACAAAAAACAAAAAACAAAACACCAAACCCAGATTCTATGCTTTATTCATTTCGCATTAAGATGACCAAAGAAATAAAACTTAAATAAAATAAACATAAAATCATTTTTCCCTATTTAAATACTGGTAATTTCTATTAACCCTATTTTTAATTTAGGGAGTTTTATATTCATATTCTCAAGATATCCAGTGCACAAGTTTCTGCAGAGTCACTAATTTTATTATAAAGCTTCCTCTCCCCACACCTTAGGGGACAATATATTTTCACTCTGACTTGTTTAAAAGACACAAGGACGTTGGCATATTTTAAAGTTAACACATTTTTTTATTATAAAAACAGGCTTAGGTTAATGGTCACTCTCTAGCATCTGGTTACTGACCGACTGATTATCCTGTATATATATATATATACCTAGGTTCCTGACTTTCTACTACTCATTATTGTTGGCTGATGCAAAACTTGATTGTGCAACACACATCTCCTCAAGGATGAACGGGAAATGCAAAGATATAAAATTCAAAGTATTAATAGATGGTTTTGCTACTTTTCATACTTTTGGTAAATGAGATAGTTGGAAGTTAGAGGCTATTAACTAAAATAAAATTAAGGAGTAAGTTACCTGTGAATTTCATTTACTCACATTAGGACTGCCTCGTCTCTCTTTATTGGAGTTTAACTGAAAACAGACTGGACCATGACTGGCAGCTATATATTGGTCATTTTCAAATACTCCAATGACACTCTTCAATAACTTTATTATGTCCAGTTTTATGGTGCCATACTGTTTTTTCACACTGTTTAAAAATTTCCATTTCCATAATCCAAATGCCAAAAAAATTACTACACATTCTCTTACACAGTCAAAAATATATTCACTGGAATGTTTTTAGTTATAGCTGAAGGCAACAACATTTACAACATTTAGCTTTTGTTACACCTATAAATATGGAAATTGCTTGCAAAACAACTGTAATATGAAAAGAATGATATTTCTGCAAATATTGACAGAATGGTTATGCATCTCTTTCAGCATATAATTTGGTACTCTACCCAGGTTTCCTGACCCCCAGCATGACCCACTCCCTATTGCAATAATGCAAGTCCTTATGCCATTAAATTACTAGTATGAAATATTATCATCAGTGTTTAACTATATACACAAATAATGAACTGGCAAGTATCTCGTTTCAAATTAGATCCTTGAAATATGGAAAAATAGAGGCTAGTTCTCTTTGCCTTAAACATAATTATTAAAAGAACATTTTGTTAGAAGGGGAGAAGATAATTGGACATTCTCAACGTTCCAATTTGAAGTGATACTTGCCTCTTAGTTTCTTGAAAAAGAAGTTTTGAAAGTTATATACACAAAGGTTTCATTTAAATTATGCAGCAATCTTTTATTACTGTCCCAGATCTTGTTTAATGAAGATCTCTGTCATCAAATCAAGTACGGTATTTCATGACTATAAGAACTGTAAGAGAAAACATGAAAAAAGCAATATATCAACATCATATATATATGCCATGTTTGAAGCAATATTCCTAAATGTAGTTGTGTCTACTTTTAGAAATGGGTAATGAGGATTGACTGAACTTTTATCTGAGGTAATAAATAATAAATGGGAAAGGAGAAGCAAAAAATATCATAAAACAACCTAAATGTCTAACATTGGCATCTTAAGTAAATAATGGCATAGCCATAGCTTGTATCTGCTGTTAAAATATTACTAAAAATTTTGATAACCTGGGAAAATATTCACAATATATTTATTAGAAAGTATATATAATATAGTCTTAGTTTTTTTAAAAAACATGCTTGTATATTAATAGGAAAAGAGAAGTATACATAATAGTTATATTAGTAGTAGTAGCTATCTCTGTGTTGTAGTTATAGATTATAGTTGAATTTTTCTTTTTGTTTTTAATATTTCACATTTGCCAATTGCCCACAATATATACATGATTAAGTTTTGGTTTTTGAGGTAGTTATTTTCTATAAGGTCACTACAAACACGAAATTAGTGAATACTGAACCACTACTGCTAGGGAAGATACAAGGTTAAGTTCCTGTGAGTCTCTGGCTACTAGATTTTTGTCAATCAATACATAACTTTGTTTTATATGTGTTTCTGTTTAAAGACATTTTATTTAATACGTATGATTGATTCAGTAACACTGAGCTCAAGGCCAGCAGCACTATAACTCATGCCTGAACAAAGTTTGCCTACTGTGTATTTTCTCCAGGAAGACACATCACAGCTCGCTTGTACTGAGCAACACTAGAGAGCACTTCAGCACTACGCACGGGGGCCGTTTTAAACAGTGAAATCACCAACGAAAAGCACGGCAATGCAGAAAATTTGGTACTAAATAGACTACAAAAAGAACATGTTTATGTTATGAGTGCTGAAATAAAAAGGCAGAAATGGCTTTGTTTAACCTCAGCTAGGGATGTGTGGGTTGGGGGAGTTAAATTTTTTGTTACTCTGAACATGTTTGTAAATGACTGTGAAAGCACCATGAGTACTGATTTTGGGGTTACAAATAATTTTACCTGGTATTGCAAACACAGAATCTATGAATAATGAGGATTGACTGTATTTCTTTGTAATAAAACTTTTTTTTCTGTTTAAAAAAATAACAGCATAATAGAATTTTTCAAATGATTATTTTTAGATACTTTCCAAATCTTCATAAAACCTCTGTAACCACAGGTAGAGAGGCCTTGAAGAAAAAGAGATATTTAAAATGATCTGATTTTCAAAAGAATATTAAGGGAAAAAGGAAGGGAAGGAGTCATGCTTTAATGATAGAAATTATGCTCAACTACAGAACAAAACAAAAACCAAACAAAAATCATCTGGAGAATGCATTTGGATGTATCCTTCCAAAACAGTATTACAAGATGCAAACTGCCATTCCTGAGAGTTAATAATAAATAGAACATGAGTATTTTAGACCTTAGTGTAACAGGAACCAGATTTGGCCTGGAACAAATCACTTAGCCTTGGATTTGGGGGTAAGGGTTGGGGGCAGAACAGGAGTTCCCTTTGAGAATCTGATAAAAGATATAGACTCTCTATAAAAATGTACATATACATAGTCACATAAAATTTTACATATTACTTAAGAGCATTTTCAGAGATCTATAGATTCTAAGAGCTCCTGAGACAGGTCAGAAGTCATTACTCAATCCTGACTTCAGAGATGCTAAGTCAGCTGGAAATAAAAAGGGAATTAAAATGAACTCTAAAACAAATGATACCCTAAGAAGTAATAATCCAATAAATACTTACTGATAATCACTAGCAAAAGGATAGCAGCAACCAAAGCCATGATGGCTTTTATCTACAACACACAAAAGGCCATATAAAGATATTAATATTTGACTCATTAATAAAGTCAAGACTATTTGTTGTTCTATTTACTGCATCATACTAAATCACCTCAATAAATAGGCACATTTCTTGAAATGTCTTCAAATTTTTTCCCATATGAATTTGCTGGCTATTTTTCATTCTTTGGGAAACAATCAGAATTCCCCAAATTTGAGGTGTTTTTCTTTACTGGATTTTGTTGGTCAAAAGCTGTACTGCAGAGAAAACAGTAACAATCAAAGCCTTCATGGGCTTGAACCTCTATGATTTGATGCGCTTATTACTAATGTGAGACCACAGAAAACACAGTATTTTAGCAACTCTGTTCAAGTGTCAAGATACGATGAATAACATAGGCCATGCAATTCAAATGGTTCAATACATATAAAGTAGCAGTTCATAGCAGTTTTTTTCAAAGTAAATGAGAATTCTGTTAGTTTTTTCTCCCCTTACTTTCTTCTTGGCATTTTTATCTCCATTTTGAGGAATATATTTTAGATTATTTATGAATAGCCTCATTTAATAAGCAACTTTGCCTAAGAGCATTCTGTGTCAGTTTTGTAGTTAAGAAATCTTAAGGTCAGTTCTTGGTCAGCTCCTTAATATGTTATAACAAAGTGACCCAAAGAATATATGGAAGATTTGTAATTTGGATACCAGTGCCTATTACAATTATTATGGTAAGAAAAAGTGTAGACAGAGAATCAGAATGGATTGGAGATAGGAGCTGTATTTTTAGTAGGTGTCTGGGTCCACATTATACGATAAACTAAAGTACTTTAATCCGTTTTTATTAATCTGAAACATTTCTAAAATAATTTGGAATTTCTACAGTAGTTTTTCAACCTTACCTAAAATGTACATTAATTTGCCATTAAATGTGTGTTCGGCTTTACTTAAGATTTGAATGAGAACATCAATATCAATTTAAAAACACCTCAATGAATAGTTTTCTTCCTTGGGTTTCTAACACTGGGCAGAAAATGTTTACAATTGCAAATGGCAGTATTGTATTCATGCAAGTCCAAAGCTCATGAACAAAAATCTGTGTGACATTAAACATATAAGAGCTTCACAACCCCCCAGATACATTAAAAGAGGTGTTAGCGATTCTCTTTCCCCACCCATGGGTAATTTTATTAATTCATTTATTTTTAAAGCCAGGTATACTGAGATACACTTTACACAGAATAAAACTTATCCTCTAAAAGTACTTTTGACAGGTTTTGACAAATATATCCAGCTGTTAATAGGCATGAGCACCATCAAATATAGGACATTTCCACCACCACCCTCAACAAGTTTCCTCATGACCTGTTGTCAGTCTCCAACCGCACCACATTCCCCTTAGCCACTGGAAACTCCTGATCTGTATTCTGCCCTTATATCCTTTTTCTTAAAACCCTTTTGAAATTACTCATTATGGAAGTCAATCTAGAAAATGGCAGGCACAGGGAGGCTGCCCCAGATGAACAGTAGCACAATGAAGTATTAATGGGGTACAGTAAAATTGAAGGAAACATTAGAAAATAATAAATGAAGAATACTTGCTACTGTAAATGGTCTTTGTTATGTTATGGAACAATGGTTTTCATTACATGGTCAATGCTATTCATGGTCTCCAGAGGTCCTCAAGGTGATGACTATTTAAAAATATAACTCAATGTTTTTTCCTCCTCAAAAGCACACTATTCCTCTGACCCAAACCCCATTAAGTACAAAGCAAACATTTTTAGAAATGGTTAAAAAAAAAGTTAGGCAAAATGTTCATTATGACCATCTTTTTTGTGGATACATGAATGGGGTACATGAGTTTGGGGGGAGAGAAGGGGTGAATGGTTCATAGACCTTTTGTTTTTCCAAATTAGCCCATAGAATAGAAAATTTCTATGGATATAGAAGCTTTAGGCCAGGTGTGGTGGCTCATGCCTGTAATCCAGCACTTTGGGAGGCTGAGGTGGGCAGATTGTTTGAGGCCAGAAGTTCAAGACCAGCCTGGCCAACACAGTGAAACCCCGTCTCTACTAAAAATACAAATATTAGCCAGGTGTGGTGGCACATGTCTGTAATCCCAGCTACTCGGGAGGCCAAGGCAGGAGAATTGCTTGAACCTGGGCTACTTGTGAGGCTGAGGCATGAGAATCACTTGAACCTGGGAGGCAGAAGTTGCAGTGAGCCGAGATTGCACCACTGCATTTCAGCTTGGGAGACACATCAAGACTGCCTCAAAAAAAAAAAAAAAAAGAAAAAGAAAAAGACTTTAAAGAAAATAAATTCATTCTTTAAAGAATAAAGTAATTTTGAATAGAAAATTTAAATTCTGAACAAGGGGAGAAATGAAACAGTTTGTTTCTTTCCTCAGTTCCACTTCTGAAAGTAGGACAATTCAATAGGTAGACAGATAAAAATAAATAAATCCAAGGTAACTCTTGGAAGAAATCCTTAGCATATGGCTAAGTCAGGTTTAGAAAGTTATTGCTGGCTGGCACAGTAGCTCATGCCTGTAATTTCAGCACTTTGGGAGGTCGAGGCAGGCGGATCACCTGAGGTCGGGAGTTCGAGACCAGCTTGATCAACATGGAGAAACCCCGTCTCTACTAAAAAAACAAAAAACAACAACAACAAAAAAACCCAAAATTAGCCAGATGTGGTGGTGCAGGCCTGTTAATCCAAGCTACTCAGGAGGCTGAGGCAGGAGAATCGCTTGAACCCTGGAGGTGGAGATTACACTCCAGCCTGGGCAACAAGAGCAAAACTCTATCTCAAAAAAAAAAAAAAGAAAGAAAGAAAAGAAAGTTATTGCTAAACTTGAAAATGAGAGACTAAAAACAGTTCTTGTCTAAATTTTTAACAAAGCCAGAAATTATACCTAGAATCAAAAAAAAAGATTTGCTTATATAACATGAAAAACATTTTCTGTTAATGATTAGTAGCCACAGTTGATTTAAGAAGTAAATGTATTTCTATACAATGTTTTGGAGGAGTATATTAGTATGTAGTGATTCTCAATGTTTTCCTTGTTAAAAATGTTAAAAATTTCCTTTACTTTTTATTTTTCTGGAATAATGAGGGAAGTGGAGTTTTTTCTTAACTCCATTTGCCTTAACAGATTCGGATATGTAAGCTGCTGTTATTATTTCCCCTTTCAACTAAAAGTCATATTTTTCTCTAGCTCTCACTTTATTTTTTTGATATCTCTATATAATGCTAGAGGTTGCTCAAAAAAGTACTAACAGTAAATTTCAAGAAAAAAATGTATATTTGTTACAAGTTAATAAGTCTAGAGGTAGCCAAATATTAATAAAATGTGGATTACTCTCATGAAAAAAAATCTATGAAAACATCCTTTTAGGCATACTGATTTATTTAGTTACCCCTATCCCAAAAGCAATTAAGTTAACAAGTATTTACTGAATTTCTACCATGTCTCAGGACAGTTATAGGCCCTGTTCTCACAGAGGTTATGCTCCAGAGGTCCTTTTTCCTTCATGTGTTTGAATACCACTTCAGATGCTGACCAATCTATCCAGGAGCTTCTGATTTACTTACTTTGCATCCGCGCCACCACATTTGCCTTCGAAGTTGTTTGGATCTGTTGCTAAAAGCTGTTGCATTATCCGATAAGCTTTCTATATCACATAGAGGATGGAGAGAAGGATTAAACGACATAACAGGATTCTTTTATCTAGTCACACAAAGATAAGAAAATATTAATTTCTACTTCTGCAAATTTATTCCCTTTTAAGCATGAAAACAACATTCTCCCTTGTTTCCACCCACAAACTCTGGCATTCTACATTATAAAAAAAACAAAAACAAAAACAAAAACAAAAAGTAAAAAACAGTTTGCAGATCAGTTTGCTCAATCCTTTTTTATTATAAAATTAAGAAAAGTCTTTTTAGGGCCTTAATGCTTATGAATAAGCTTAGGAATTCTAATAAGAAAATACTCTTTAAAAATTCAAACACTTGGCACACCTCTAGAAAAAAAATTACATGTAGAGAAGTTAGCTTTTTAGAAGATATCAAAAGTGACTGATTTTAAAGGAAAACAATATACATTTTAAAAGTGACTAAGCGAGGTTGTCTTTTTTGTAAGTCTGTCAAAGATTAATCAGGTATTCAGCCATTCACCATTCAAACAATATTTGAGTGCCAAGTACATGCCAGGTATAGGTATATAGGTTATAGGTATAATGACTGAAAGTAAAGAAAGGTGACTAAGTTACCAAATGAAACATAAAATAAAAATAGCAGATAAGTTTGAAACAAGTGTTGAAAAGTGAGTAGGTCTTTCGGCCCTGAGATCGTGAGAAACACAAAGTTCATCAACATCAAAGTGCAAAAGAAAAAACAGCTCTACTCTTCACTCTTCAACAATGAAATTTTAAATTCTTCATTCTCCACTGAACAATTAAAAAATAATGTAACAATAAGATGACTCAAAGTAAAGGAGTTAAAATTAAACCATTAAAATCATACACTTAAGAACCAAATACCAGTTTCCTAAGCCAAGATTTGTAAATGCTGGCTAGATAAGTAGAAGAAAAAAAACTAGCAAACAGATTAGTAATATCAAGAAATACATGAAGATCTGTACCTGATTTGTCCTGTAGTTCATCTAGTCTCTCCCCTCTCTCAATTACCTTTGTAATATTTTCTTGCATGACATCAATAACTTCATCCACTTGATTCTGAACACTAGTTTAAAAAAGTTAAACAATTATTTATCCTTCTTTTGAGAATATTTACAATTTCTGAAATTTCATTAGACATAATAAAGAATAGCAAATTCTCGGAGAATTATTTAACTATTAAATTTAAATTTAGGACTTTATAGCAATGTTCTTCCATTTGTGGGCTTCAGTATTCAGATAATGAAAGACAATTTGATATAAATTAAAGTAATATTTAAAGATAGCTTACTTTTAGCCCTGCTTCTGACTTGCAACCCATACGCAAGTTAAATGTACTGTCAGCATGCTCACTAAGTGCAGAATTTAAACCGCTTCACTAAAAATAATCAGGTTTTCTTTTCAACAGGCTATTGAGGCAGCACAGACACCGCTGCACCCTACTTTTGCTATATATTTCATACACGAAGGCTAACAAAGGAGGTATGTTAACACACTTTTTAACATACCTTTTGCTCAGGTACGGTAAAGGCTTATGAAACATTCCTAGTTTCCAGAATGGAAATGCAGGGCATATTCTAAGAGATACTGATGCTCAATGGGTAGAATTCTTCACTGCTCATCAGATTTTTCTTAAACAGGGTATAAGATAACTGGGGACACCTGGGAATATTTTGAAGAACCCACCAGGAAGCAAAAAGGAAAAAATTGTTTTCTGTTTTTCGATTGTTTGTTCATCCTTTATATTAGATGATGGGGGTCTGTTTTAACCAAATTTCAGGCTGTTCAGTAAAGACTTAACCTAAACTTAAAATTGTAATAACTGTCCTCAGCTATCCACTCTCATTCAGGAGTTAACTCCAGAGTACACAAACATGGACATGTTTAATCATTTTAAGTGTCTTATTCTCCTCTGTGGCTCTAACCACAAGACAAAAAGTTATCTTAAATTACTTTATGAAATAAGTCACAACAATGAAATATTTAAAAGGAGAAATAAAGCAAATCCATGGTCCTCACAACTAAACACTGTTTAAAGTGCACTGGATTACTTACTGCAGACATGTGCTGCATAACATTTTGGTCAATGATAAAGCACATTTACAACAGTGGTCCCATAAGTTATAATACCATATGTTTACTGCATGTTTTCTACGTTTAGATAAGTTTAGACACACAGATACTTACCATTGTGTTATAATTACCTACAGTATTGAGTGCAGTCACACGCTGTATGGGTTTGTAGCCTAGGAGCTACAGGCCATACCATATAACCTAGGTGTGTAGTAGACTACACTCTGTAGGTTTGTGTAAGTACTCTATGATGTTCACACAATGAAACTGCCTAATGATGCATGTCTCCAAACGTAGCCTGTCATTAAGGGTCCATGACGGTTATAAACATTAAATGTATAAACATTTAAATAAATGAAGATATGCAATTGTGTTTCTAGCTGGAAAAGGAAGAAGTGCGTAGGGGTCTTTAACAATTTTTTACAATACACAGATATGGTCTCCGCCCTCTACCCCACAAAAGTCCCCAAACTAATGTAGTAAGTGAGGAGTGAGGCACGGTCATGTTTAATTTTGAAAGAGTTCTATCCTTTCCGATCACTGAGCTAGTTCTTTAAAAAATTTGCTATAAAAACAAAATGAAGGCCCATTTAGACAGAGGTGGATTCAGAAGTACTCTCAGATTCAAGTAGCAATTACTAAGCTTGATGACAGTAACCTCCATCCCAGGTTAAAAGCATTATGTACACCCACTGATTACCCACACATAAACTTCAAGATTTTTCACAGCATCCCAGAGTTCTGTGCTTCCCACACATTATTCCACTGGAGGATATAAGACTGAAGCTCAACCAAGTTGGGCATGCAGAGTTCTCTTCTGTCCAAACAGATCTGAAAGAACCCCTAAGTCTCTAAGATATCTTGTTGCAACTCCCAATCCCCTAAGTAGAGAGTTGAAGGTGTTCATCCTATTTAAGAACAATGGCACAAATACACAACTAATTAATTTCTTCAACAAATAATGAGAACCTACTACGTACTGTTTTAGGTACTGAGGAAGTAACATTGAACAAAATAGACAAGTAATCCCAGCCCTTACGGAACATATGTTCAAACGTACATTGAATGCACTGTATTAACCTTATAGCTGTGAAAAACAGCATGCTCTACCCCATTACTCTATCTTATTTATAGCATGTAAGCAAATATAAAGTGATAGTAATTGTACCTATTTACTTATTTACATGCTTATTTTCTGCCTCTCCCCACCAGAAGGTAAGCTCAATGAATGCAGTGACCTTGCCTATTTTGTTCACTTTTGTAAGTCCAGTACCTATAGTCGTGCATGGGGCACAGTGGCCATTCAACAAATATTTGCTGAATAAATGAACAATTTGAGTATAAATCCTATAAAGCATATCCAGCTACTTGAGGAGGAGATATAAAGCAGTGAGTGTAGAGACCTCCATTTAACTACAAACAAAAGTAAAGCTACTGTTCATCAAGGATCAATTTTGAAATTCCCAGCTAGTTTTTTTTGTCATATGCAAATGATGATAATTAATGGCTTAAAGTAGGGTGCTATGGCAGGACAGGAATGGACAAAATGTACTAAGTCTCCTACACATGATCAGATTATAGCTATTATGGATATTAATATACATATACTATATATACTTTTAGACGAGATTGGGTACGTTCAGGGTGGTATGGCCGTAGACATTATATATACTTTTAAAATGAAAACAAAAAGCTAATAAAATAGTTATGGTCCCAGAATCTCTTTAAAGGCCAGGCCTGGTGATTCATGCCTGTAATCTCAACACTTCCGCAAGGCGGATGGATCCCCTGAGCCTGGGAGTTTGAGACCAGACTAGGCAACACAGTGAGCCCCCGTCTTTACAAAAAGATTTAAAAATAAGTTGGTTATGGTGGCATGTGCCTGTGGTCCCAGCCACTTGGGAGGCTGGGGTGGGAGATTTCCTTGAGTCCAGGAGGTTGAGGTGCAGTGAACTGTGACTGCACCACTGCACTTCAGCCTGAGCAACAGAGTGAGACCTGTCTCAAAGGAAAAAACAAAACAAAACAAAAAAACCCCCCCAAAAACCCTTTAAGGATAACATTCCATGGATATAGGCAGATTAATTGGGACAGACCCATAAAATTCCAGATTCTTACTAGAGTATCATAAACCTACAAGTATTCCCTCAACAACATGGCACACACGTAATAAATCACTATTGATAATGGAAACCCCAAATATTTTAATTTTTCTGCTACATGATTTGTGAGTTATTGCTGCTTTGTCCTTCACACATTACTATCTGCTGGTGTAACACTCTGAATCCAGCTACTGTGTAACCTTCACTCAATGATGAAAAATCTCATGACTGTTTTCTGTGTGTCAGGATATTTCCCCACCCAGAACACAATTTTTGTAGAATAAAGAAAATGATCTACTTATTTACTTTAATATGGAGATAGTTTGGTTTAAAAAGCAAATGATAACATACTTCCCCATGATCTCTTACATTTTCACAATAGTTATAGTCCTTTGATTTCTATTTGTATTTCACACTGGTCTTGTCCCCATTGTTATACTACAAATGCCTTAAAAACAGAGACTGACCCACTTATCCTTTTATTTCCCAGGTCATGTGAAATGTGGTTGGTACAAGGTAAGCATTTAACAAACATTTTCAAATCTGAGTTAAATATATCATTCATTCAAAAAACATTTATTAAAAAGTTATGGCTAGGTGTGGTGGCTCAGGGCTATAATCCTAGCACTTCAGGAGGCTGAGGTGGGAGGATCGCTTGAGCCCAGGAGTTTGAGACGCCTTGCCAACATGTCAAAACCCTGTCTCTACAAAAAATACAAAATTAGCTGAGCATTGTGGTATGTGCCTGTAGTCTCAGCTACTCAGGAAGCTGAGGTGGGAGGATCCTCCTCCGGGAGGTGGAGGTTGCAGTGAGCCAAGATTGTACTATTGCACTCCAGCCTGGGTGACAAGACTGAGAACGTGTGTCTAAGAATAAAAAAAAGTTATTATTATGCTATTCATCAAGGTTACCATCATGAAGGTTACGAGCCTGGTATTTAGAAAGATTATATTCCAGTAGGGAAAACTGATATCCATGATTATACTACCATGTGTTAAGGGATATAATGGAAGGAAGCCCACAGTATCTGACATGTAGCCTAGATGAATTCAGCCTGGACCAGAGACGACATCAAGACCTCTGTGCTGAGTTTTGAGGAGTCAAGAGTTAATCAGGGAGAGTAAAAGAGGCAGTGGATGGTGAGAAGGTTCTAGGATAAGGAAATATATGTCAGAGGAGGCAATATTTTAAGAACTAGGAGATTAACTTGATGTGAGTGAAGGAATTGGGAAAAGACTAGATAACTCCTAGATTTATAATTTGAGCAATTAAGTGGTAGTAGACGATGGCTATGAACTAAAATAAAAAATTAAGAATGCAAAGGAAAAGGTAATTTGTGAAGGAAGGGTGGAGATTTTTATATCATGGCCAGTCAAAGGCGATTCATATGAGATAATAAAAGACATGAGAGAGAACATAATGAGGAAAAGACATTTTCAATACTGTTTTCCATCCTTTTAAGAGTCTGAGAGCACCTGTGTTTCTGAAATGGCTCTATTCTAATTACCGACAGAGAAGCTGTATGGTATAGTGTAGAACCCCTGGGTTCTGTATTCAGACAAACCTGGGTTTGCAGTACAACTTTATCACTTACTACGTATGTGACTTTGGAATTCACCTTGCAAGTCTGTTTTAGCCTCACGTTTTCTCACCTTTAAAATGAAGCTGATAAGCTCTACTTTATTTGTGAGAATTAAATGAGATAGTGTTTTTCAAATACTTAGCATAGTGCCTAACACATAGCACATACTTGATAAATATCAGTGCTCTTCGGTTAAGAAACAAATTTACGCTCTGCAATATGCACCTCTTATTTTATAAAGAAAACACTGGCCAGGTGCAGTGGCTCATGCCTGCAATCCAGCATTTTGGGAGACTGAAGTGGGAGGATCACTTGAGCCCAGGAGTTCGAGATCAGTCCAGGCAACATAGGGAAACCCCGTCTCTATAACAAATTAGCCAAGCATGGTGGTACCTTTCTGAAGTTTCCAGTTACTCAGGAGTTGAGGTGGAAGGATCAATTGAGCCCAGGATTTCAAGGCTGCAGTGAGCTGTGATTGTGCCACTGCACTCTAGCCTGGGTGACAGAGCAAAACCCTGTTTCAAAAAACAGACAAAGCAAAAAACCCCTGAAATCAAATATTTATTTTCATAGTTAATATCCCCATCTTCTGGTCTTTTAAGGTACTGCTGACAAAAGAAATTTTAAAGTTAAGCTGTATTTTTTGCAACTACATATGGCTGTTACACCATGGAACATTCCCTGGGATGTGGGGGAAGGAATCTCATAAAAGTTAAGCTGGTCTGACCAAGGCTATAATTAGGAGATTCCCTACCCCTAACACAGAATGTCTACAATTCACTAGAGTTGCATTTATAATGCTACTGTTTAATTTAAAGGCAAAGGAAATGTAATCCTGCTAAAAGTTCCTGCCTGCTTATATAAATGAAATCTTAACGTCCCTACTCTGGATTGCTGACTCCATTCCCTTGGAGCTGGTATTTCCAGGTGGTCCATCTCCATACTTTATGCTTGAACAAACTCTCTTTAAAAACAAAGCAAAATTTAAAAGCAAAGGAAACATTTCAAAGAGAAGCATAAATTTTATGTAGACATGTGAATATTTAAAAATTTTCCTCAAAAAGAGTCTTTCCTAAGAAGTGATGTCAAATATTTTTTGTAGGATTAATCTGTTAACAACACTAATAAATGTGGCCAACCAAGTTCAAAGAAAGCAACGATGTTGCTAATCTATGCAGTAGAAAACACTCTGTATTGAAATGTTATAAATTAAGTGGTGATAACAGCTTAACTAAAGAAACTGACCAGTGCTAGCAATTTTGTGTACTAAAATAATGCCAGGGATTTGTCCTTGGGTAAATTGTGTGGCAAGTTGTGCTTCTCCATCTTGGGCACACTGGTGAGTCATGTCCTGCTTAGATAAGCATTAATCAAGGTTTAATGCATGCTTGATGAATGACCTTATTCTAATTAGATCCAGCAAGCTTTCAGCTCTACAGTAAAAACACAAATATACTTAACAATCCCTTACTAGTCTAAAATTCTGTGATCACCAAAGTTATTGTGATATTAATAGTGTAATACATAAATATACATATACAAATACATGTGTGTATGTTTGGCATTTACTAACATAGACATATATTCTTTAATGCCTACTCTGTACAACTGGTTGTGGTTTGGGGATTCAGCTGGAAAATCATACTCAAAAGACCCCAATCGGCAACACTCCTTACTAGGTTCACTCTTCGGAAGGATATCAGACAGGAAACAGAGCATACTGGCAGGACAAAAAATAGGTGTGTCATTAGCGGAGCCCTCTTCTCCAGTGGCAGCTTGGGTAAAAGGGAACATGTGAGTCGATACAGAAGTCACTCTGGCTCAGTGGGGGAGAATGGCTCAGTCATTACACATTGGCATCCACATATGCCATACAGGCTTGAACTACAGCTAATTTGAGTCTCGGTAGAATGCTTGTGATCTCCCTGGAACATGAGAGAATGAGTGGCTCTTGAGGTCTTCTTCCAACCACCTCCCTGTTTCCCTCATGAGATTATCATAAGGCAGTTTCTCATCACCTCCCAGGTTCTGATGAGGTATAAACTTTCTGCAGGCTCTACGTGCAGACTATAAAAACCACACTTTAGAAATAGCTCCTTTGCAATAGAGTATCCCACAATTTGTACTGCAGCCATTGACCACCCCCCCTCTTTTTTTTTAAGAGAAGGGGGTCTCACTTTGTTGCTCAGGCTGGTCTCAAAACTTTTGGCTTCCAGCAATCCTCCTTTGAAGGAGAATTCCAAAGTGCTGTGATTACAGGCGTGAAACACTGCACCCAGCTGTATCATTATTTTTGGTGTGCGGGACAATGACCCTGAGAGCTACTAACTTTAGCTACTCTTCCTTTTACTATATAAGCAATAAATTGCATCTAAAAGTGGCTTGTTACATCTTTAGTCAAATCAGAGACTTGAAACAGTACAGATTCTCTCTTCTACTGGCCTTGAAGAAGCACTGTGAAATCTATAGCTGCAGAAAATAAATTCTGACAACTACCTGAGTTGGTCATACCTGGTGATACCCTGATTGTTATCTTGTTAAACGTGAGCAAAAGGCTCACCTAAGAAGTGTCTGAATTCCTGACCCAAGGAAACTGTGAGGTGATAAATGTGTGTTGTTTTAAGCTGCTAAATTTATGGCAATTTGTTACCTGGCAATAGAAATCTAATACATCCAGTCTAGTACTTGTAATCATTTGTTGGTTCTTTGGTTCCATATCTCAAAATCCATTAGTTAGAATTAGGCTAAGTATGGAAATATTTCTTCACACCAACAGCTACCTGAGTAAAGCCCAAGTATCTCACCAATAACCAGATACTCCATTATAGAACCCTTCCCACAATGTGCCATCTATACCCAGACTTAGGGTAGTTTCTATTATGCCTCCTTAGGTCTTGAACCTGGGCCATGCAGTTCACCTTCCACAGTTAGTCTTTATAGCTTGGTCAGTTTCCAGAGTCTTCCCTCAAGTGACTCACTGCTCTTTCCATTCCTTCTCCCGTCCTGTCAGGACTCATATCTTTCCAACATTAGACACATTGATTACAGCATATTATCTCCATCTATCACCAAATAATATATACCTCAAAGGTTTTAAACTGCAAATTAATTAGCCATAAAACTTAGTTCAATATATAGGTTACAATAAATAAGAGATATGAAAAAATTCTGGAAGTAGATAAAAACATGCAGTAGATCAACAAATTAAATCTATTATATTACCTTTATTATCATTCTGAAAATAGGAATCAAGCTATGGATTTAAAAACAAAATAGACCTTCAGACTATGCTAAATAAATGGATTTGACATAAGGTAATCAAGTCATTAAAAAAACCCAACAATCCTGCATTTCTTTAGCTATAATTCTGAGAAAATAAAAAGAATTTAGATTTTATAATCCAGCAGTTATATTTAGTCTATAAAATAAAATGAATTAGGTTTTTATAACCTAGCAGTTGTATTTAGTCTTATCAGGGGTCAACAACTTTTTCTGTAAAGGACCAGACACTCAGCAGATATTTTAGATTTTGTGGGCCATAAAATCTGCCACAGATTTGTCACAACTACTCAACTTTGCCATTGTAGCTTGATAGCACCTATCGATAATATGAAAACAAATGGGCATAGCTATGTTCCAATAAAACTTTATTTATAAAAACAGGCTGTAGCCAAATTTGGCTCACAGGCTGCAGTTTGCCAATCTCTAGTCTACACAGAAATATGATTATCATTTAAACAAATGAACAAAACTTACTGCTTAATTTTATCATTTCTAGGTCCAAATCTTGGTCCAGATGGTCCCCTTCTGAAAACAAGTGCATACCAAGTACATATTAGTAGTGATAGGATTAAAACAAAACAAAAAAAAGAGAAAGTATAAACAAATGCAAACAATCAAGCTGAACTCTAAACATGGATCAGTTATTTATCATAAGGGACCACATTTTACTGATACTGGTAAAACTGAATAATAGGTAATCATGTCTTTACTTCATTGGTACTTATTACTAGCCACATTTAAGCTAATTCTTCTGAATGTTAAAACTTTCAGAGAAATTAGGGTTTATATTATCTTATATAACAAAGTTACACAGAGTTTGTTCTGATCATTAAACTCTGAAATATCCTAACTACTTAACTGCTAGTGAATATTAATATCTTTATGGTCAACTGTAGAACTAAAAGCGCAATTCACCTTGAATTTAGACTATAATGAAATGAGGAAACTACGAAGTGAAATGCTGATTGACAAAGATGGATACAGAGAAAAACTCATTCAAAACACTAACAATTTTAAGTATGTTTTTGATTACCCATTTTAAACTTATCAACATAGCAAAAGGGAAATGCAAGATATTAAGAAAATATTAACATTACTCAGACTATTATCTCCTTATTGTAGTTGAATGTATATCACACCTTAACCAATCCATTTTAATATTCTTGAAATAAAAACATTTGGTTAAAGTAATTATGATTCTTCCGGAGATTGAGAATAAGATATAAACTACAAAACTCAAAAGAAACTAGGTTCTTAAATTTCTAGACATGGCAATTTCTAAAGGAAGTGAAAAAATACAGCAATTGATAAAAAAAATTTTGAAAACAAAATAAAACTGTTTACTGAAACTTATTTAACATAATGTATAAGTGTGAATATATCATCTTGCCTTAGTTCCTCTAAGCTTTTTCCTTAAAGTCTTTTAAGCTCCAGCGAAGCCTCAGAATACTGGAACAGTATTCCATTCCAAAATGATGTTAAACATTGAATTTCATAGAGAAAACTAATATTCGGAACCAGAGGCCATTCCTAAAAACTAGGCAAGAACTTACAAGAGCTGGTCAACCGAAAAACAAAGAAATGCAGTTATTAAATGAGGAAACTATATATAAAGTGAAATAGAATCTGAAAATTATTGAATTAAAATTATCCCACTACAGTTTAAAAAAAAAGCAGCAGCTATGTCTGTTTCATCTATCAAGTAACATGAGACTTCAAAATACTTATAGAAAAACACAAAATCAAAAGCTGGTTCTTTGAAAATTAAAACTTGATAAACTTCTAGCCAGACTGATTAGGAAAAAAAGAGAGAAGGCATAAATTAGTAATAGGAATGGAAGAGGGAACATCACTACAGACAAATGTACCTATATAAGATTTATTAACAGAAGCTAAGTGAAGCGTAGATGGGAACTCTCTATACTATCTGTGCAACTCTTCTGTGGATCTAAAATTACTTTAAAAAAATCCCCCAAAGAAAATTCCAGGACTGGATTTGTTCAGTCATGAATTCTACCAAACATTTAATGAAGAAAAAATATGAATTCTATGCAAACTCTTCTGGAAAACTAAAAAAGACAGAACCTTCCCAACTCATTATCCCGGGGCCAGTATGAATCTACCACGAAAACCAGATAAAGACACAACAAGAAAAAGACATAACTATCAATCAACCAATATCTCCTAATGAACACAGATGCAAAAATTCTTAACAAACTCTTAACAAATTGATTCCAACAATGTTTTAAAAGAATAATACATGATGACCAAGTAGGGTTTACATCAGAAATGCAACAATTGTTTAAAATTTCAAAATCAACATAATTCACCACATTCACAGACCAAAAAAACCAAAAAACATATGATCATCTCAACAGATACAAAATAAATGCTTGACAAAATCCAACATCAGCTAATGATAAAAACTCTTCACAAACTAGGAATAGAAGGAAACATCCTCAACCTGATAAATCTACAAACAACCATAACAACATACAATGAAAATGAAACATAATATGAAAGATGAATGCTTCCCCTAAAGGAGATCAGGAACAAAGCAAGGACATTCACTCTCACCATCTATACCCAATATTGTACTGAATGTTCTAGTCAGAGCAATAAGGTAATAAAAAATAAAAGGCAAACATAGACAAGGAGGAAATAAAACAGTTTTTATTTGCAGAAAGTATAATTGTTCTATGTAGAAAATCCAATAGGATCTATAAAAACACTACTAAAACTACTAAGGGGGGTTGGCAAGATTGTAGAATACAAGGTTAATTTACAAAAATGATATTTATACTAGCAATGAGTACGACATTTTAAAATTTTGAAACACCATTTGAAATGTCATTTTTAGTAGCATCAGAAATTATGAAAATCATTGTGCAAAAATCACAAGCATTCCTATACACCAATAACAAACAAACAGAGCCAAATCATGAGTGAACTCCCATTCACAATTGCTTCAAAGAGAATAAAATACCTAGGAATCCAACTTATAAGGGATGTGAAGGACCTCTTCAAGGAGAACTA